CAAGGAATCCAAAATGACAGAGTTCGAAAACCTACCACATTGGCCCTCATCATTCTTCTTCAAACCATCATGGGGAGTATGTCCAGACACCAGAGAGATTGATGCAGGTTGCGGAGAGTCCTCACGACCAGTGTCCTTGTCTTCTTCTCTGGAGTGAAACAACTTCAACATATTTATATGACACAGACGCATTTTGCGCCTCCTATCAGGAGTATGGACAATGTAGTCAGTGTCATTGACTTTGCTTTTTACCACATATGGGCCTGCAAATTGGGCTGAAAGTGATGGGCCAGGTGTGGGCACCAACATGAGCACTTTATCACCTGGCTCAAATGACCGCTTTACAGTCTTTTTGTCATATAGATGTTTCATTTTCCCTTGGGCAGCTGATAAAGACTCTCTTGCTATCGAACAAGCATGGTATAGACGCTCCCGACACTGTGTGACAAACTCAAGGACATTAGATTGTGGCTGCGTCTCAGCTGACAGGAGTTGCTCCTTCAGAACCTTCAGTGGTCCCCTTACACCATGCCCAAATACAAGTTCAGCAGGGCTAAAACCAAGAGACTCCTGTTTAGCTTCTCGGGCTGCAAACAGCAGAAAAGGAAGGCCTTCATCCCAGCTTTTGTCTGTTTCATGGCAATATTTTCTCATCATGGCCTTGATAGTTTGATGCCACCTTTCTAGAGCACCTTGTGACTGGGGATGGTACGGACTTGAGGGAACATGTTTAATGCCAAAAGACTGTAGTGTCTGCTTGAAGATTTTGGATTGAAAATTGCTACCTTGATCAGTTTGTATGATTCTAGGCAGACCAAAAGTTGCAAAAAACTTCAGAAGAGCTTTCGTTATGGTGGGCGCTGTAATCTTCCGCAGTGGAATGGCTTCAGGGAAACGAGTGGCAACACACATGACAGTCAAGAGAAATTGATTACCAGCTTTTGTTCTGGGCAGAGGACCTACACAGTCCACTAGGACACGCTCAAAAGGCTCACCAACTGCAGGAATGGGTTTAAGAGGAACAGGTGGTACCCTCTGATTAGGTTTACCCACTATTTGGCAAACTTTACATGTCCTACAGAACCTGGCAACATCCTTTTTCAGGCCTGGCCAGAAAAAATGCTGCAGAATACGGTCATGGGTTTTAGTGATTCCCAAATGACCTGACCATGAGTGGTCATGTGCCATCTGCAGTATTTGTTCACGATAACCTTGAGGAATAACAATTTGATATACTATTCCCCAATCCTCTCCAACACCTTTCTGTTGCAAGGCAGGCCTTGAGATCCATTTCCTCATGAGTAATTCATTCTCAACATAAAATTTATGGGCCTTATTATTTACTGAATCACTCACACTTTCAAAGCATTTAATGAGAGTTTCATCACTTTTCTGAGCTTGGCTCAAACTCTCACGCGACATTGATTGCGGGATAAAAACCTCAGACTTTTGGGTGAAGTCCTCCTTGAGGGGTGCTGGTTCTACAAGGTCATCTGCTGGCAGCTTGTCCTCCATCAAAGCAGAGCTAGCTCTAGACGAACTAGACGTACCTTCAGACGTGACTCAACAGTCGGACTTGATTCAATAGAGAAGGGCTCAAACCGTGGGAGAGAGGCTGGTGGTTTTTTCCCATCCGGCTTGATAACAGGTGGTGTCTTCTCTACCTTCTCAGGCTTATCAGCAGATTCAGAACAGGTGGTGTCCTCTTTCTCCATTTCTCCTGAGAGCACACCTTTTTCAACCAAGACACTAAAGACAAGAGACTTCAGTTCACGTTTGAGCAAAGACTTAGGGACATGGAGACCAAAATACAAAGCAATTTCATACAAATCATCCTTTCTACAGACATCAAACTGTTGTACAGTTGGAGTATCTAAAAACTCCTTCAAACTAAATTGCGCCATACACAAACAAAATAATCCCGGACGAGCCCCCACTTATGTTACAACCCCCCCCCAAGACCAATAAGGGTAAAATCTGGCGCTGGTTGTAACACAAAAAAACAAAAAGTTGTCTGTAGCAAAATGTGGATCATTTATTTACAGTGCAGGTAAATCAACTAAAACAAAGAACAGAACACAGGGAAGTGTTTATCTTCAGGGTCTCCAAGGCCAGAATAACAAACAAAAGCTGCTAAGAAATTAAAATTAAAAAGAACTTTCTAATGGTAAATAGGAAAAAGAAAGTACAAAACCTGAACTCCCTGACTAGCCATCAAAACAGGAAAAAAATGATTGAACACAAATGGCAGAGAACCCCTACCAGCTTCCACTGTGAAAAAAAAAACAAAACAACAGGTTTTGGTTAACACACTTCAAAGGCTCACAGCCAAAATCACTCAGTCACCAGTAAAGTGTCAGATCAGGTCAAGGCCCAAACAAGAAGGGATCCAACACTGGTTGTATGAAGCTCTTTATGGAGTGGCTGATGTCCAACACATTTCACCTGTGCATCTGAAACACAGAGAGAGAGGACTCTCTCATGAAGAGAGCCCCTAGAGGTCAGTGACCGTAACATTCACATGTACTCATCCTGTTTGGGGGAATATTTTCTTCTTTTTTAGCATATAAATCTCTGCTGCCTTTTTGGGGGGCAGAAGGGTTAAGCATAAATAACTGATAAAGTACATTGAAGATTGAAAGTGTAGTGTAACTACAAGTGGGTGTGGATCCTTTTGCAAAGCCCTTTCATTATGCTAGAGGCTGTAACTCTCCAAATTCTCCTTTGCTTTTTTTCCCCACCCTTCGCAGCATTTAATCTAACATCTCCCCCGCCCCCTCCCTATTAGTACTTTAGTCCTTATTGTTCCCCAAAGAAAAGATCCTCATAAATAAGCATGCAGCAGCTGACAAAAGACAGGAGATCCACAGTGAATGGTGTCTCATCTTACACAAAGCTAATGACTGAATAAAGAGCAGAACTCGGGAGTTTGAGGGAAAGTCAGTCCGTAGGTCAGACAAAAACTTCTACCTATCCCCTGCTGCTTCATATCACGATCTTCCGGCTAATTGAAAAATGACGCGGCTTTGTGTGAACCTGCGGGGTCGAGAAACACGGTTCGCCCCTTCAAAGAGAAGAAAGCACAAAAAAAACGACTTTTTCTCTCAACACGCCGGGGAGAACGAGAGTCCGACTGCAGATGCACAGATCAAAAGGCCAGTCATCCAGCCAGAATCCTTTCAAAACTGAAACACTCAATCAAAAACTTCAGCAAGACTGTGACACAAACTAAGTTGCATAGAGAAGAAGCACCGTGTCGAGCTACTAATGAATACACGCTACTTGTGCTGCATAAACCTTCACAAAACGACTGGTGAAGCTGGAACTAGAGGCTGTGTGAATTTTCCACTTAAACGGACGGGATTCTCCCACTTTGTCTGTTTTCTACAAGTTGATGGTAACAAAATTGTTTCCAATCTGACTCATTGTGGGCAAGAACTTCCATAATGTTCCCCTCTAAACAGCTGCAATGCAACTGTTAATCATACCAAAATGCCAGATGCTTGTACTTCTAACTTACAGTCTAAGATCATAATTAGAACCGCCTGATGCAGTGGTTCTCAAAGTGTGGGGTGCTCCCCTTAGGAGGGACAGGGAGTGCAGAAAGTGGTATGGATGAATGAAAAAAATATATATAGTTACACAAAAATGTTTCACTGTAAAGATGGTTTGTAGTTTGTTTTGTTGCAACCTGAAGTGTGAAATAAACTTCAGTGGAGTTTGAAAACAAAATATGTGTTTTAGGTTTATGTCTGGCCGAACGGTGTGTGAGCCAGTTCATTTTTTTTTCTTCTTTTTTTGGGGGGGATTTCAATGTAATCCATAGGGGCCACTGGCTTAAACACATTATATATAATGTGCCAGATTTGAGGCTCACATGACAGTAAAAGTCCTCATTTAGTCACCACTGCAAACAAACACGTTGAACCAGTTGTCAAAATCTGTCAAGCAAGTTTTGCTGTATTTACAATAGTTTCTTTCCTGAAAATCTCTCTCAAATTGAACAGTTTCTCTCAAGTGGACCTCAGATTTTACTGATGTGAAGTGTGTGAAGAATTAATTGTGACCAACGATGAGCCACTTTGCCACCGTCACTCAAAGCTCAACTCCATTACCCCCAAAATTAGCAAGCATATATATATATATTATGCAGTGACGTGCAGTCAGGAGAGGATCTATGTCCCTCGTAGAAAAATAATACGTAATTATAACATAACTTATATTGCTATTTTCACCCTGACGTTTGTAGTATAAAGTACTTACTTTTCATTTAGCTCAACCAATTCTGATTATTTTTGATTCAAAATTGCTGAATTTTCCCATTTTCCCATTCAAATGCTTGCAAGCGAAGCAGTGAGCTGAGCCTCACCTGAGATTGATCAACCTCTCTAACTGGTTGCCATTCAATGGGAGCATGCACTTCCTGTCTGTACGTCACCAATAAAATGGCTAAAAAACATTTACTATATGAACTGATTTGCCATAATTTAGCTTATGGATATAATGTTCAGTGTTTTTTGTTGTGTGTTTTGTGTGCTGAGAAGCAGAGAACAGACTGGAGGTGAGGCAGGCAGTTCTCTTCGAATGGATAAAGTGGCCTAAATTCAACCAAACCCAACTCAGCATTTCTTGCACTACGTTGTAAGACAGAGTCCATGTCAGAAAACTGCTCAATTTGAACGAGCTCTGCTGTGTCTTATGAGGAAAAAGGGTCAAATATCCAGCTAGAAATCAATCAGAAGCTTGTTGCTACATCAAGGAAAACTTACATGAAAAAACTCACAATCAATTCAGATGTGTGCATCCCGTTCCACCCAGAAAAAGAAAAGAAAAATAAAAAACAGATAAAAAGGATCTCTGGAGTCTGAGTAGAGCCAACAAACGCATGCAGACAGACATGTAACGCTCATCTGCAGACAGGACCGAGCCTCAGCCTTACACAGGCTCTGTTACAATCTTCAAATGACAGCAGAGTGTTCTGTGAACTGTGCGACTCCTACTTGCAAGCAGCACGTTGACAGTCCGGCTGGTCAGGGCTCCGATGGCGCTGGCACTCACACAGCTGTAACTGCCCTCTACGTTCTGGGGAGGCTGGCCGGTGGGCGACAACAGGAGGGATCCATTGGTCAAATACCGCAGGCGATCTCCCGGCGCCGCAGGCAGGAGCTGGCCATCCTTGAACCAGGTGACATTGAAAGGAGTGTCGCTGGACCCCAGGTTGCAGTCCAGCAAAAGTGGCAAAAGCTCCAGAACCACATGGCTGGGCCCAGCACCACAGCTCAGTTCCACTGAAACAGGCTTTTCTGTGTAGGAAGAGAGGACAAAAAGATCAGTTAATGAGGATGTACCAGGAAAGGCCTGGGAAAGTTTAGCTTTTTTCCATGCGACTTTGTACAAGGAGCTCTCGGAATATATGAAAAAGAAAGCATTGTCTACTATGTGATAGATTTGGGCAAAACGTCACACTCGCTACTTTGAAACATGTTAGTCGTTTCTGCAAACTTGGCAGTCTGGATGGGTTTAAGAGAACATTTATGAAACGAGCCGTTCTGAAACAGGACGGAGAGTGTTCTTGGAGGAGGATCTTTAAAAATTAGATTGGCACTGCAAGAGTTTACTGGCATCGCTGGTAAAGATCTGTAAAAAGAAAAAAAAAAGTGTGAATAAATCAGTCTTTCAATGCAGTGGGATAAAATGAAAGACCAATTTTCAAAATGGGGACATTACCCTGAAAGGTGGGGGGAAAAACCCCCATCACGTATTAAGAAATAATTATTTCTGACAAAATCACAACTTCCACAATTACAGGCTTTTTCTATGACAATCATTTTTCCAGTATGACGATAATTTGTCACGATAGAACAGGAATCTATGAACCTGTTCTGTGTTTCTCTCTAGATGTTTTTTTTTTTCCCTCCACTTCACCATTCAGATTTCCTGTCTTTAGTCCTGAATCCTGTGACGGCCATGATAGAATCCTGTTTTGTCTTTGGATTTGGCCATATGTGTGGAATCATAAGGTTCTCAAGGTCTTTCATAGAGGAATGGGTTCACTGCATCAGCATCACAAGCCGTAATGGATACTCAACCCTGCTTTTCTGCATATTTGCTCTGTTTCCAGTGAGCCCGGCATGAAAACCTCAATCTGTTTCTTCTGACCACAGTTTCAAAGCTCCGGTGAAGTTGGGCAAACTCCAAATGTTTACTCTATAGATGGGAAGACAGAAACGACTTCTTTCTGGCATGCTTCTTAGGCAGCTGGCTGGCACGTACACAGTGGATAATGGTTGTTATGGAGACTTGGTGACCTCAGGACACCTCTCTCTTCGCAGCGGTTCCCACACGGAGCGTTTTGGAAATTGATTTCAACTCCCTTATCGTCCCGATCAGCGGACATCTTGTGCCACGAATGACGTGACTGGGTTTCCTCCCAAATATCCCCAATTTAAATGTCGCCTTTTGACTATTTAAAGAATCATTTATTTATTTAAAACACATTCGTCTGCCCATCAGTTTTGACCAAGTTCCATCAGCGTTTCATGGAGTCATGCATTTTAATCCACGGGGCCTCCTCTACAAAAGTGTCAGTGGTTGTGGCCGTCAAGTTACATTTTGGTCACTTCTTGTTTTGAGGCTTGTCTTTGTTCCGTGTGGCGTACTAACGTTGAAGTCACTTTTCCTTCAAGTCTTTCTTTATTGTGCATCTTGAAACTACCGCAGTGCTTTTTCTTTTGTTTTTTTCAGAGTTCAATATGCGTTAGCTGAAGCTATATCCACGGGGTATAGCTTTTCTTTGAATCGGAAACAATTGGCTGGATTATTTCTTGGAGTAGCTCGCATTGGCTCGGTTTCAACATTATCCCAAATTTTCCACTTCTCAAGGTGAGTGTGAACACAGCTGACACCGTCATTTCCAATTCCTTGGGAATCTCTGTGTTCCATTTTCCCATTACATCAAGTTCAAGAACCTTTTTCTGCAGATCATTTGACGATTAGTTTACTCTCTTCAGGAAGGGCAGAAAAGCGAAAGTACATCCCATTATTTGATAACATAGTACATTAAAATGCTAATCATCTAAATACAGTCAGCATAAATTGCTGCTTTTGTTTTTTTAGCCACTGTATTGCATGGCTTTCATTAGACTGATCACTTTTCTGAGGTCAATTTAACTTGAAAGTCAGCATCTGTTTGCCATGCATATGTATAATATGCACTTTGTAATATGCATGAGACCAGTGGTAGTTCTCATACTAACCAAACAGTAAAGTGAATAAAGTACATTCATCATTTCTTAGAAAAGGATACAACAGAAAAAATTAAATAAATAAATTAATTAAATACAAGATAAAAAATGTGTGCAGGTTTTTTGTGAAGTTGGCCTTATGGTGATTTGTATAAATCTGATAAACTGAATACAACAAGACCATTTAATCTCAGGAATCATTTTCCTTTGACTCTGTAGTCAAATCACTCTGAAGACATTTTTGCATCAGTAAAAGCTCTGGGTTGTCAACACTCATTCCCTCCTAAGGGAAGGCTTGCAGAAATGTGTACCTGGAAGGAGAAAACAAAGTACTCAAGCCTTGGCAAATTAGAACAAGAATCTCGTTGCATCATTTTTCCGGGAAAAATCGAATGCTGCTTAAAATTTGCTCTAGCTTGTCTGTGGTTCTGAATCGGCAGTCGTACTGTGCAGCCACTCGAGCTCAGGGCTAGAGATTTCTGTCACAATTGGAGATTTTGAAGAATTATAGATGGCTTGACTGCTTCGCCGTTCTCAATCAGAAAATCACCCTGAAGAATGTTCCTTTCATCACCTACAATTCCTTGTTTTATGAAGCAGCTTGTTTGGATGTAACAGGAGTTGAAGTGAACATACTATTCTTCCAAGGACACAAGCCAGCTGTGCACAGAAATCTAAACCTGTTGCTCTGGTGTGTTTGGAGCAACTGGCAGGCTCACCAACATAACGCCACACAGGCACACAAATGTCCAAATAAACAAGATAAACGTAACAACTGCAGACTATTAACGGCTGCCGTACCCTGCTGTTGTGAACGGTTTTATTTTGAATTGTTTTACACCGCTGAAGTCAGCTAAAACAGACAGTAAATGTTGAGCTAGCTGTATGCTACCACCAAGAAAACAGTTTTATTCTTAACAAGTCTGCAATGATATGACATCTTTTTTCTACAATAGGTGAGGGCGCATCAGGTTCTGCTTTTGTGCTGAAGTTTTCCTGCACACCTACTGAAAACTGCATGTTACTCCGATTTAAATGTTTGGAAATGATGTGGTATAACACGTCTTGTTACGTCTATGAAGCCTCTCACTCCGAATAATGCATTTATGTTTTGATTGGAGGTGTGGAATTTGTTGCTTTTTTTAGTGCGAGAAAGCAGTGTGTTTCGTATGCAGTCACATTCTTCATTTATTTCTATATTTAATTGATACATTGGAAGTGAAACTTTAAACCCCTACGAGTTCTGCCAGGTAAGTTATGTATTCTTTTTTTACTGAACTATTTACTAAGTAGACCAAGTCATCCATTTCGCTTTCATTTTCAAGCCTTTGGAATCCTGAGTGAACCCTCATCATTTCATACATAGCATCTGGACAGCATATCATGCAGCGGTGTGCCTCTTGTGTGGCATAAATTGCATTTGGTAGCTTCTCCAATAACGTTTTAAAATTCTTATATGAAGCGTTATTTCAATAACGTTTCAAATAAGTGATTGATTAGGCAGATCAATCACCAGATCTGCCTAATCTGGTGATTGAATTGTGCATTCTAAAATTATGCCAAAGTCTAATCTTCCTGTCCTACTGTCTTTTTTTATGGAAATGAAAGCATGACAGCGGTATGTGCTCGGGAAAGCATCGTCGCAGTTAACCAACGCGTTTTGTTAATCAACGCAGAAAATTCTGCGTAACATAATATCACGTCTTCGTTCCGACGACAATCACTTTTACGGTTCAGCTTTAAATTGGTCGACTCTCACATACACAGGGAGCAGGTTGCTTCCAGCTCCCCCCATCTCCGCCGTCGGACTAATTACGTTAATGGGAAATGGAATTCTTCCCTTGATTAAATGAGGCCTGACTCCCCACCATCACCTCCTGATGAAGAGGTTATGCTGAGTGAGGCAGCCGACACGTCCACACATAGCTACACTGGAGGAGGAGGACAAGGAGGAGGAGAAGAAGAAAAAGATGCTGTACAGATGTATCAACACACCCATAGAGCAAATGCAAAAATCAGTCAAACTAAAGACCTGCGCATGAGAAGCATATTAAAGCTTCTACGCAGCTGGTAATGTGCTTCAACACAGACAGATCACCCCTAACGGTTCCTTGTATCCTCTCTCCAATTTCTAGTAATTAGGTCTCATTAAGTCATTAAAATGCTAACAGCGATTTCCCGGCTTACCACAAGCATGCTAAAAATAATTAATAATTAAATGAAAGGCGAGTAAGACTCTGTATCAGCCCTCAAAGAGGAAATAAAGGTGTGATTAAACAAGAGGAGGACATTACATAACTCTTTTCATTAATAAAATTAGCCACTTTTCATGTTACACTCATTATATTCCGGAATAAATCAAATAATAGGCAAAAAGCTATGAAGATGTCCTGAAATGAGGTTCAACACAATCTCCTGTCCTCTGTAGCGGGATTTAGAAGACCAGCCGTGTAAATCTGACTCCATATTCACGTGCGTCTGCTCCAGGAGCATTTGCTGATTTGAAAGCCAAAGGTGTTCACATGCACGGCGCAGAGTCGCACGCACCGACGCTGACAGATGCTGTAACGCTGACGCAACAGCAGCAAGCGTGTCATGAGGTCATGGTGCAGTCAGAGGAGGAGAGGATGTGAGACGTGGTCATTCTGCCACTTTTCTTCACAAATTGCGTCTGCTGGGAAAACTGTAGTCGTTGCAACAAACGGCAGCAGAGCACAACAAGAAGCAAACAACAAGAAAAACACAGGTGATCCAAAACAGATCAGGAATGAGCAAAACACAAGTACTGAAGCATGAGAGGACAGAAATACGAAAGCAACACAGAAGAAAAATGGGCAAAGAAATATTTTATTATTTATTTATCTACTATTTTTCTCAGTGCAACCAACTGCCCCCCGTGAAGTCAGCTAATTAGAAAGCAGAGTCGGTGTGTGTGATTTAAAATTCAGCCTCAACGCAGCTGTTCTGCGAATGCCTGAGAGGTTTGTTCAGTTCAGGGATAAAAGTCGGAGAGCTTCAGTGCTCAGTATCCTGAGCCGCCAACCTCCCATGGAGGACTG